ATCTTTTGATGATGAGTCTTTTACAAGCTAAATGATAGCCTTGTCTGGACCACGCTTTGACACAGGGAACCATACCAGATGTTTTGACAGTTTCCTGTTAGAGTTAAGAGTCACTTCATGTCATTGAGTGCAGAATTTTTGCCTACTCTGTCCAATGCCATTCAATTGGAGGACTTCTCTGAGAAAATGGCCCTCCTTCCTGGGCAACCTGGGTGGCTGGGAGTGATGGTCCTGGGATGGGTAGAGCTGGGTTGTGTGGTGGTGTGGCGGAGGAAGGAGAAACCTTCGGAGCTAGCACTCTCCTGGGCAGTGATGTGAACACAGCCTGGCCCTGTCACTCAAGGCTGTAGGAAGGTTCTGTTCTTCTTGGGTCCCTCACTACCCTCTGCAGAGCTACATGTGCCTGGGCTGGGCCACATGTAGAGCTGCAGGGCCTGAGGCACAGAGCTCACCCCTCCACCCATGCTTGAGGAGTGGGGAGAGGAGATGGGATCTCAGTCACACCCCAGGAGACACCCCTGCCAGGCCCTCTTCCCTGCACTTGGTGGGGCTGAGTGGACAGAATTTCAGTACTTAACGGCCAGCCAAGTGAGTGGGGCAAGACCACATACCAGGAGGACTGCCTGACTGTAAATCTCCAAGAGGATGGCAGGAGGAGTGTGGGAAATGAGGCAGTGGGCCAGCGCTTACCTCCCCAAAGCATGAGGGGTATGCGGGAGTCGGTGAAGGGCGGCAGTACTGAGTCAGTGTAGAGAAGGCTGGGATGAGTTTCAGAGAGGCAGGGTGGTTAGGGAGGAGGCAGGGAAATGGCCTGAAAGTGGCAGGAAGGGTCCTGTCACCTCTCCACTGTGGGTGATAAGCACCTCCATGTGAGGTACGGGTGTCCTCAGGGGAAAGCCAAGTTCCTGTCACAGCAAGAAGAGGTTGGGAATATGGGGGATTTTACTGACATTGGGATTTAGGGGGCTAGGAAGTTGGAGATTGGGTTGGATTAGAGGGGGAAATGGAGCCCTGAGGGACAGATGATTAATAGTGAGGAATGACCCAGGTAAAGTGGGACCCCAGCCAAGACAGGATTGGTCCCAGTGGTGTCTGAGGCTGAAGGTGGCAGTGAGGCTGTGAAGACATCTGAAGTGTGAGGGGTCTCCAGGAGCTCTGTGGCCCTGGACCCACTTCAACTAAGGACTGTGGTGCTGAGGTTTATGAAGGCGAGGTGGTACCAGTGGCACGCAAAGACCTTTGGTGGAGTTTAAATTTGGTAGAACATCTGTGTCGACAGCCATCACTACAGGCAGTGAAGAGCAGTGTGATCTTGTTTTCCCGATGCCAGCCTAGAGTTCTGCTGTATTTCCTTCTGGTTGGTGGTCATCAAGCCCAGGAGCTTATATGGCTTCAGGTGTAGATGGATCCAGGTGCCCCCAAATCTGTGTCTCTCTCCATCTCTGATTTTACCCTCAGTTGGCTTCATTTCTTAGGCAGGCTGTCTCCCCAAAGTAGAGACTAAGAGCTGACTAAGTGCCTGGCACTGGGGTGGTGGAGGGAAGTATAACCTGATCCCTGCCCTACAGGGCTCACAGTCTGTGGGGAAGGACAGAAAGTACAGAACATTCTAGAATGTAAAGCATCACATACTATATTAGATAGATGTACAAGGCCTTATGGGAACATAGTTGTTCAGCCAACATTTATGTGTCACTGACTGTATGCTATGCTTTGTGCAACCTGCTGAGGATACAGAGCTAAAAATATACTTTCTGTCCTCACATGCAGTCTATGGTGGTAGACAGAAAACAGATGCTGCAGGGAAGCAGGATACGTGTTGTAACGAAGCAGAGCGTGTCTGGGAGCACATAGAAGGGGTGCTCATCCGGGCATGTGAGTGTGCGGGTGTTGGCACAGGCCTCCTGAGGTGATAGAGGATGTGGAGCAGGTGGAGAAGGAGGTAGCCAGGTAAAGCAGGTAGGGGTGTGGGTGTATGTTGGGGAGTGATGAGGAAGTGGTGGAGGGTGAGAGGGGATTCCAGGAAGAGGGACCAGCAAGAGCAGTCAGAGAAGTGCTGGGTACACAGGAGGGCACAGACTGTGGCAGGGGTCAGAGATGGTCCCGCAGAACAGACTTGGGGGTAACAAGGATGCCTGAAGGCAGTGGTGTATTGGACCCAGCTCGCACCAGCTTACTGTTTGTATCACAGGAGCCTATCGTTAGAGTCTCTTCCTAACTCACATTAGTGGCTTGGGCAAATTCTACTAATCAAGGTCCCCTTTCCCTGCCCAGAGGGCCAGTTGCTAACCATTTACCAGCACACTGCTGGATGAAGGGCAGTCCTTTGTGAGAGGCTGGCTCATGTACAGGCATGGCATCCTAGTGGGACTGGAGATTTACAAAAGGGCTGATCTCATTTAGAGGGCTGGATGGGTGAGGGTGAGGGCCAGAGATGGCTGGGGAAGGGGCAGGGGCCAGATGCCCAAGGGCTTATGGTCCAAGCTGAACCGAGGAGGGGACATCTCACTGCTCACTCCCCTGACGGGTGTTGACCTCTGGATTGAGAATGTAGGGGAGATTCTCCCACCATGAACTATAAAGGATTATTCTGCCGAGGGGCCCAACAAACATGAAGTCTCTACTGAAAGTCTTCCCCAGAAGGGCAGCGGTCCCATGCCAACCCCAAAGCTGAGTGACTTCGGTCAACCCCTGGCAGAAAGGCCAAGGGCTTGCCTTAGGCTGCCACATCTCTGCCTCCAGGAATTTACCATCTCAGATGAGAAATTTCAGCTTGCAGGTATTAAGTGGTTTAAAAGGAGGTTTCATCAGCTTTGTAAAAAGCACATTAATATCTCACAACACCAACTGCTGTCTCATTTCTTTGAGATACAATAAGCTCTTCACAAACCTGGTCATTAGGGGCTGAGCAGACGCTGTTGTGTTTTCCACATATGCATGAGAAGCAGAAAGAGCAGTGCGGGAGCCGGGAGGGTGCGTGGAAGGAGCGGCTGAGGCCCAGGGAGGAGGTTGTCTAAGTAATTTTTTAAGTGAAGCAAATGAAGGGTTTGGTGGGAGCTGCTTTCTCTGTGTTTTAAACCTGTTCTGCTCCTGGCTTTTTGCTTTGCTGGCAGAGCCCTCCCTGACGGCAGGGATTCAGGGGGCCTCGGGGTGGGTGGGTGGGTGGTGCCTGGCTCGTCCCTTGCTCAGCCCCCAGCCCCCAGCACAGTGCTGGCACCAGCTGTGCTGGAGGGTTTGAAACAATAGCCTGTGTGGCTGTCTGTGAGTTTGCTCGTGCCCTCAAGTTTTGTTTTCTCTTTCATTCATTCATTCATTCAGTGGATTATTTTGAATGCCTACTGTGTGCTCTGTGCTATGCAGGCCCTGAGCAGGGTTAGAATGGAGTGAGAAGTCTGGCTGTGCCTGCCTGCCTTCCTTGAGTCTGCCCCCTCTGTTTGCCCTGAGCCCTCACCTCCCCGAAGTCCTGAGCACAGCAATGAACCCTCGCTCATACGGCTCAGTTGTACCCTGCCCTCACTGTTGTCTGCACAGCTGCTTCTTCAGTTCCTTCTATGCGGTTTGGTGGGGAAGAGATCAGACTTTAGACTTAGAAAGATCTGACTTCTAAATCTGCCTCTGTTAGCTCTTATCTGTGTGGCCTGGAGCAAGTTATGTGACCTCTCTGTGACTCAGTTTCTTTAGCTGTAAAAAAGGGTTATAATCCCTGCCTAATAGGTTAACAGATAACAGAAGTGAAGGTCCCTCCTGTGGCTCCTAACCTACAGCAAGTACTTAATTGAATGTAGTTCTTCCTTTCTCTCTTCTTCAAATGATGCCTCTTCTAGAAAGCCTTTCTCGATTGTCCTAAACTACAAAGACTCTTTCCCTCCCCTATGCAGTGCTTCTCAGATTTTAATGGACATAGGAATCACCTGAGATCATGTTAAGCCAGATTCTGACTCAGTGGGTCTAGGGTGGGGCTTGAGCCTGCATTTCTTCCAAGCTCCCAGGTGATGTCAATGCTGCAGCATCCCTGGTGCTTTGGATTGAGTAGTGAGGCTTTAGAGCACTTTGTATGTGCTTTGATTATATTGTGTTCTGATATTATTTGGGAACAAACAGCTGCAAGTCTGTAAAGCCCCTGAAGGGCTAGAGAGTTCCCTGAAGATCCCATATTTCCCCTGATTATAAGATGCTTGCATGCATATTTCAATGTTTCTGAAATTGGGATGTATCTTATAATTGATGGGTTCATTTACTCTGGTGTGTCTCTTTTCTCCTGAAAAATCATTATTACCCTGATGGTGCTGTCTTATAGTTAATGATAATGGCTACATGACAAATGTTTATTGAACGAATGGACAAATCAGTGAATGAGTCAGTGTGTGTGTATGTGTGCACACACACGTGTGTGGGCAGAGAGTGTACTATATGTATCCATTCTCCTAAACAGATAAACATTATACCAATGATAATCCCTGAGGCACCATGATCTTTTGATCTCTCTTATTAAAAGCCTGTTTGACAATACCTATATCCCACAACCCAGCAATTTCTTGTAGAAATTTGTTTTGTAGAGATGCTTGCATGTGTGCATGAGGAGATGTGTATGAGAATGTTCAAAACAGCTCTGCTTGTAATAGCAAAACACTGGGAACAACTCACATTTCTTCTGTCAGAAGCATGATAATGCCTTGGAGTATATGAATATGATGGGAGAGTTTGCAGCTGTGCAATGAGTGGATTACAGCTCCACATGTCAACACAGGTGAATTCCACAAATATAATATTAAACAAAAAAAATCAAGCTGTGGAAAAATACATAAGGAATGATTCCATTTTCAGAAAATTAAAAACTTGTACATGTTAGAATAGCCTTTTATATGTATTTAATATTAAACACATTGTTTTAGGAAGGCAATTTGTTGAACCCTTGATGCTTGCACACTGCAGGTGCTCACTAAATATCTACAGAATAATAGGACGAGTGAATTGACAGGTGTCTCAACTTCTTTGTTCAGGATGAAGTTCGCGACTGTTCAGTGGCAGCTGTGGCTGTGAACACAGGAAGGCGGGGTCATGGCTGAGAATGAGCGTTAAGGGGTAAGTCAGCCTTGGACAAAGGAACAAGGAAGGAAGAACGGGCTGGTGGCTCTGACCTCAGACAGGAAGAATGGAATGGATCCCAGTGGATATAAGCGATCCACATCGTCGGGGCTTAGATATCGTTGGGGAGGCCCCTAGAGATGGTGGTCAGAGCCCTGCACTGGGGGCTCCGCGTGTCACGGGAAGGCTGCTCTTACTGGCTGGCGGATTGACAGGGGCTGACTTCACCCGACTGAGAATGTGGAAGGATCTGAGTTTGGAACTTCTAGGCCTCTTTACCACAGCTCGGTCCCCGCCCCACCTCATAATGTTGACACTGGAGCAGGCCCTGAGCAACAGGAAAACCTCAGGCCCACTTCATACCCAATGTGGCTGAAAGTCTGTTCCTGATGAGGTTAAGGACCCTCTGCACAGGTAATGAGCCAACTTAGAACATACTCCATGAAGCTGAACTATATAGGTTTGGGTGTTTTTCTAGGCCATGTAGGAAGCTTCCTCAAATACAGTTCAATTGGTTCAACTCTTACTACTAGAGAGGCACCAAAGTTCCCTGGTTAGCCTCAGAGTCTGCAGGTGGGCTACCTGGGTTTGTATCCCAGTTATGCCACTGAATCTCTCTGGACCTTAGTCTTCTCATCTGTTAAATGGGGAGACATAAAGAACTGTCTCATAAGGTTGTGAGAATTGCATAAAGCACAGCATTGAGAGGGCTTAGCACAGTGCCTGGCACCTAGTAGGTGATGGATAAGTGGTAGGTGCTATGCCTGTTGCCGGGCCCCATGCCGGGGGCACAGATGCATCACACACAGACTAGTCAGAGAGAATGACGATTACACTCCGATGGGTTAAGGGAGGCATGCCTAGGAAGTTCGGAAACCTGATACACATAAATCCTACAAAACTGACTGTTCAAATGATTCTGTTGACCCCAGAGCCCCAGAAGTGGGCAGATAATGAATAAATACTGTCATGTGCCAAGAGCTCTGCGTTCATCTTGAGAAGCCTTGTGGTCTAGTGGAAAGATGGCTGTGGCACTTATCAAGAGGGTTTGTGTTTGAGCTCTCTTTCTGCTATTTATTAACCATGTGTTAATAAATAAAACCATATCTTAATAAATAAAATTGTTTACTTTTCAATTCATTCAGTATTTCATCTAGTCCTCAAAATTTGCCAAGTGCCTACTAGGTATAGTGTTGAGCTGGGTGGGCACCATGATAGAGAGGGGATCAATACAGCAGGATTCCTGTCCCTAAGAATTGAGTCTGGGAGGCCCTGGGACAAATAATTAACTTAATATGACCCAGAGGGAAGCACCAGCTTGGGCAGGGATGGTGATGGCTGGTCCCTTACACAAACTGCCACAAGCCAGGCACTGGGCACTTTACATTTAGTCCTCCAAAAAACTTTTACTATTATCTCCACTTTGAAGGTGTGAAAATGGAGGCACAGAGAGGTGAAGGAAGGCATCTAGGGATTCACTGCCAGTGTGAGCGAAGGAGCTGGGATTTGACCCCAGGCAGTAGGGTTCTATCAGTGTGCAGTTTTGTACAGCAGAGCACCAGATGCTGGGGGGGTGAATGGGAGGATGCATGGCTCATCTGGGTGGTGGCGGGTTGTTAGGAAGGCTTCCTAGAAGAAGGCCCATCTCAGATGAGCCACAAAGGGTAAGTAGAGATTGACACATTAAAGGGAAGGCAGAGGACTGCTGGGGAGAAGAGCAAGGGGTAACCAGAGAGGGGGGATGGGATCCTGAGGCCAAGAGCCTTGGTGCCTCTGAAGGGCAGATGGTTGGACTGCAGATAAGCGTGTGTGTGTGTGTGTGTGTGAACACTCAGGAGAGAGAGTAGCTGTGGCCAGGTTGTTCAGGGCATAATAAGCTATTCAAAGTATGAATTTAGCAATGGGGAGGCATTGAGGAGCTTTAAGCAGAGGGTTACTGTCACCAGACCTGTGCTTTAAGCTGATGGTCCTGGCAGCCACTTGGGGAACAGAGTGGAGAAGCAAGGCTGGAGGCCATGAGCCTGGGTGGAGTCACCAGGGACTCTTGCCTGGGCCACAGTGACAGGACTAGTTCAGGTGTGAGGTGGTGGTGGCTCAGGCAGGGTGGGGATGGAAAGAAGTGAATGGATATAGAAGTCAGTTGAGATCTATTTATCTGTAAAATTGGGGAAGTGGGCCAGTCCTGTTTCCCTGATTGTGTCATTGAATAGATCAAATGAGAGCTAATAAACCCACTTGGTAAATTACAAAACCCTTGCAGAGGGTGCAGGCTGATTAGCACAGGCATCCTGTAGTGAATGAGACTGGGCTAGACATACAGCTCTCCCTCCATAGACATGCTAACCTGTCTCTGGACAGATGGCTACTTTGAACTCACAAGCTGTGCAGCCCTGGGCAAGTCACTGCCCCTGTCTAAGCCTCTATCTTCCTCTTTATAAAATGAGGGTAAGGTTGTCGTAAACATAAACAAGATAATGTATGAAAAACTTACTATGTGCCTGCCACACATTAAATGCTAGGGAAATAAACATCTCTGCAGAGATAGAATTACTGAGAGAAGTTGCCGCTGATCCAGACTACTCCATGCACTAAGACCATGGGTCTCAGCTACCAGCACATGTCCCACCAGCATTGTCATGTGAGGGACACCCCTTCTTGCTGACATTTCATGAATCCTCTATGGAGTGAGAAAATGCTATGGCTTTTCCTGCTTTGCAAAATCCACTGTAGTTTTCTGACCACTGATCTCCCCCAACCCCTTTCATTTTCATCTGCTGAGGCACATTGAGCTTCACAGCAGAGATCCAGGCCAGAGTGGTCAGATGCCGTCTAAACCACTGACCCGTGAGGATGGAAACATATCATGGGACGAGGATGCGTACGACCGGGGATGCCCATCTAACTACACTCTTTTTTCCAAGCCAAACACAGTCTGCTGCTCAGAAATCTTCAAGGCTTCATTGCCTGCAGCACAGGGCAGGCATCTTAAGGACAGACATTCCCAGCCGTGCCCAGGTAGACCCAAAGCTTGCCACCTTACCTGCTCTGCCTCTTCTCTCCTAGCTATGCCCATTTACTGCAGAGGGAGAGCTAGGAGCCCTGGGTGGGAATGTACAGGCAGGGCTGGGGGTCAGTGAGGTGCCTCGGGGCCAAATTTAAGGAGGTGCTACTCTCAGGGGTATGCAGACGCAGTGACACCTCCTTCAGTTCTGCACTCAGTCTTGCCCGGCCTTGTGTAGGAGAGGGCAGGTCAGGCTGGTGCCTGGGTGAGGGTTGTGGTTTTCAGAGCTGCCTCCCAAGGTAGTGAGCTACCTGTCACTGGAGGGGTTCAAGCCATAGGTGGTTAGCTGACTCTTAGGGATGCCATGAGAGCATTTCTGTAATAGCTGGGCATGCCTTCCATCTGCTGGAAGCTAGGATTTAAGGATTCTCCCCTGATCGTGCAGCTCAGAGCTGCCGCTCCTCCTTTCACCTCCACTCTTACCTCCAAGATCACTTATCGGGCAATTAACCACAGGCTGCCTTGTGACAGCTCTTGTATTGCTGTCTTGCTTTTTCAAATTTCACGAGTTATGTGTCATTTTGCTAACAGCATTCCACATGCATTGAGGCCAGGGATTGAACCACACACTTTTGTTCTCTCTCTCAGTGGGTATAGAAGACTCCAATATTTATTAAAAATCTTTTCTGTGCTAATATTTTACATCTCACTTGATTGAATTATCACATCAACCCCTTGGGTAGGGTCTATTAATGAGCCCATTCTACAGATGAAAAATGGGAGGCTCACAGAGCTCGATAAATATTAGCTACTTTTTTAAAAAACAAAAATTCATGCTGATGCTATAGGAATGCCTGGATGTGTAGCCTTGGGCTAGTTGCTTAACTGCTTTGGGCCTCAGTTTCCTGACTGTAAAATGGGATAATAACATTGCCTCTTTCACAGGGTCTTGTCAGGGTTAAATAAGTGAACATACACATAAAACTGTTAGAACATGCATGTTGTGAGCTTTCACTATGCATTATCTATTATTAAATATTATTATTGTCATTGTTATCAGAAGAGTGGTAGGCCTTGTCATATCTAGAAAAAAGAATGATCAGAATGTGAGTCATAATATTTCCAGGTGTTTGAAAAGATCTGGACCCGTCATCCAGGTGAGAAAACAGGCCATTCACCTCAGAGCTTCTGATTTCCTCTGAACTGTCCATCCCCCCAGGAGAGAGAATTCTGCCCAGAAGCCATTTGTAGAAATGGAAACATGGGTCTCTCATGAGTCTACTTGACAGGAATCAGTTCCTTAGAACTTGATTGCTTTGGGGAAAGTGCAGAGACATCCTGAAACTACAAAGCTGAGGGCAAGACTTGGCTTTAATATTTAAAATATTAAGTATTGATTAATTAATTGATTAAAAACATGTTGCCAGTCTTCTCTGTGCTAGGTACTCTGCTAGGGAAGCAGATAAGGATGAAAAAAAATCAGGATTGTTGCTCTGAAGCCGTCATAATCTGGGTGGGGGAGGTGCGGGGAGGACAGAGGAGTGGACCCTCTGAGCCCCAGTCCCCCAAAGGCAGCCTCTGTTCAGAGAGGAGCAGATGGACAGCTCGACTGCCTTCTGCCTCCCCACCACAATTCCCCCGAGGAAAGGGGTTTTTAAAGGTTGAGGAAAATTACTGAGAGAAGTTGCCGCTGATCCAGACGACTCAACGGGGACATAGGTCAGAGGGGAGGCGGAGTTGGCTATGCCAGTCACCGGGTGTGCATGCAAGAGATAGAGGCAAGCTTGGGAAGGGTGGTGGGCACCCCCCAGACCTCTGCCGCCAGAAGGCTCTGGGAGGACCTACCCTGCCGGTGCCTCTGGCTCCAGGTTGGCTACTGCGAGCAGCACTTTGGGTGCTGTTGGGAAGGCAAACACTGTTTGCATTTCTGCCACTTAAAACAATGTGTTGTTGTGACACTCTGGAATCTGAAGATAAATGTTTAATAAAAGGATTC